TGAGGTATTTAGGGGTGATCTTGTCTTCTCAGTAGGATGGGCCTGTTCTGCCAAGTTAACGAGGCTGATTCCAGCCACATCAGTGCGCCACCAACTTCCCATCCCAAAGCCAAAGTACAAGCTGCTGTCATTCCCAAGGTTTCGTGTGGATTCAAGGTTGGAAGGGTAGGGGAGAGCAGAAGAAGGAAGAGCCAGAAAGCCCCATGGAAGGAATCCTCAGCGGGATGCCTACTCACCACCAAGCCAGCAGGAGTAGCATGTGATGTTTCCACTCCCGTGGAGTCTCAGCATCTGCCGGGAGGCTGGAAAGAGTGCAACTTGGAATCTCTTACCGTGTAGCCCAGGAGTTTGTTAGGTAACAAGATCTCCAGGTGATTCTCATGTACCCAGAAAGTTTAAAAGTCCTGCTGTAACACACAGATACTAGAAGTTACCTTTCACTCCCATCAGCCACTCTAAATAAACCAGCAAGGACCCACAGGATGGACCCACAGGATAGACCCGGGCCCCAGAGTTTTTCACTTGGAACAGCAAAAGAATTTTTACACAGCTGTTTGCATATTTCAAAAACTAAATTTCCAGTTTATCTTATAAAATCGGAAAGTGTGGCAAAACAGTGTCTGCATCGCCACATTCAGCCAGAGTCCAATAGCAGCTCCTGGCCTGTACACTCCAGTCTGCAATGGTCCCCTCCAGTCCCACGCCTGGCACATCTCTGGGGTCATTCACCTCTGTCGCTGTCAGGCTTCTGTGGACAATTTGGCTTGGCGACTCCTGACCCAGCTCTGCTCCTCCACCCCATTCCAGAGATACAAACTTAGGAGCAGAAAGTTTAAGCGAACTCTACAAGAAAGTTAGGAATCAAATACGTAATGTGTTATAAAAACGATTGCTGTTTATCACACTACCCTTTGTTAAAAGGAAGAGTCACTTGGACCAGAATTTTAGCTTCGTGTGTGACACTCTCTACACTGTGGTTTTGCATCTTTCCCCCCTTGCCACTGTCCTTTATGTGCATTTTCTTCTTCCCACATCAGAATGTTACTCAGAGCAGGGAGACAGTGTGACTTCTGGGTTTCAAAGGGGACAACTAGATCTTGGCATTACACAGCCAAAGTGTCTCATTTCTAACAAGTACTAGAAACTATACTTGTAAATGGCACACTCGTGTCTGTGAAAGAAGACATTTCTTGGTTGCTCGTAGTATGGATATTTTTTTGTTTTCCCAGGTGTTTCCATTTTATGCATCCAGGTTTGCAAAACAATGATGGGGGAGGGGCAGGTAATGATACGGGCAACTCTGGCATAATCCAAGTATCCCCTCTCCCACCCTGGACAAATGGCATGGTCATTTTTTTAAATGTTTTGAAACCGACTGAATTGTAAGAAACGTATCCATCTTGAGCCGAGATCCACAAGCTGCAGGATCTGTGTTCTATGCTCTTCCCTTTGAAAGCCTTGGAAGCATTTTGCACGTCTCCACCCAACTGTCTCTCAAGGGTACTCTAAATAATTTGGTTTCTGCACCGAGTTCCATTAGGGTCACAACCTTTGGGAAATAACCATGAGATTCATCCTTCATAGAAACCATATTTGATGCCAGACACAGAGCCAGAAATTTTGGATACCTTGTCTCATATTCTCGACAAGCCAGAAAAAGTGGATTTTATCTTTTTGAATGGCAATGCCTGAATTGAGATCATGTTAGTAAAAGCCATGCTAGACTGGCAAACTGGTGGCTAAATCTGGGTGTGGCATTTCTTAATAGAATCCTCTGGTCTAGACTATTGTATTTCCAGGATTATAGTTAATAAATAGTTCTTTGCTTAATTTCGCTCTGTCCCATCCTCATACCTGATTGGATGGAAGAGGAACTTTGCAAGGTGCCCGCAATGACCTGCTGAAGTCCACTGCATGCGCTTGCTGTAAATGTAAGGAGTTGGTAGGTTGACTTGTAGAACCTTCAGCACAAGGCAGAACTTGCGGGAAAACAACTGAGTATGATTCTGTGAGAAGCCTTCATGAGGGGGTCAGTGACAGAGTTCAACATGAGTTTAGACTACTGAAACGGCTGCTATTGAGAATGGGAGAGGGAGGAAGGGAGGAAGGGAAGGGGGGGAGAAGATGGAGGAGGAGAAGGGAAGGGAAGAGAAGGAAGGAAGGGAGGGTGGGAGGAAGGGAGGCTGAGCCCGGGTTCTTGTTTGCTTTTGGTTTGGGTATAGTTTCTTCTATTTTTAATGACATACAATAATTGTACATATTTAAAGGGTATAGTGTGACACTTCAGTACAGAAATTCAATGAGTATGATTTGGCTTTTGCTTATCCATGGATTTCTTATCCATCTTCCAATTCAAAATGATAGTAAATAAATAAATAGGTACCTTATGGAATTATAGCCTATGATTCCAATGACCACATCCCAAAAGCAAGAATAAGAACTTCAGATTGGTCTGGTGCACTAGGCTAATGCTGGTCTTTTTCTCTCATCTAATCACATGCAGGGACAGCGCAGGCACACCCGGGAGCCTTTGGCACTCCCTGCGTGTATCTGGGGTGGTGTGTATCTTTGTCAATACAGTGAAAAGGAAATAAATATCAGAGACTTCAGATTTCTGCCAGGATTTTTTTTTTAATAATCTGCCTTTTGAGACCATAGTTTTATTCTTAATACATGTGTAAAATGTGACTTTTATACTACTTAACAGAACTGAACCAAACGTGATAAACATTATTTGCATTATAAGCTATATACCATGGGTGTGCAGTGCTATCAGATGGCTGGCTGTTTAATAATACTCAAAAGAAAATTAAATGTGAAGTCCAGTTTATGTTTTTATTTTTAAATAGCTGGTATAAATTGATTCCTTTTTAATAGAAAGTTATGTGGTTTGATTATAAAACCTCGATAATAAAAACAGTCATTTTGCTATCCTTTGATCTATTTCATACTTCAGCACACTGCCAATATTAAATTAATTTACCTTCTAATAAAAATAATTCCTGATGTTGATAAAATACTGAAAAGTAGAGAGAAGCTTTATTAAGATCATCAGTATTAAAACTAAATCCTTGTTACTCATTATAGAAGTTACAGTCAATTTAATTAATGCACATTAATCCCTAGTTGACATTAAATTCATCTAAAAATGTACACTCATATAGATTATTAACACCAAGCCATAAAAATATTTAAAATAATTAATATATAGAAGAAACACATTTCTGGAAATTTAGATGATTACAGTGATTATATTATTAAATATCCTATAGAGGAACTAATCATTGGAGGATATTTCTTTAGTTTACTAAGTACTTGTAATTTAGAAAAAAATAGTGACTAGAAAAGAATCTTTTCCAAGAAACCAGTTAGCAAATTTACTACAATATTGATTTAAAGTTGATCTTTCCATCTAAATTAACTCAGACTCATCACAGTATAAAAGTGGAGCCGCAATTATATTTATATAATGGAAATTCTTATTTGAGTGATGATTTTAATTTGTGAAACTTTTGGGTTTTTTCCTTTCCTCTGCCTAGAAAAGGAAAATTTGCATAAAGCGATAAAAGATTTACCCCTAACACTTTGTAAAATATGTAAGTTGTGTTATTTTACAGCATGCTTACGTGTGAACTTACTTTAATTGGATTCTGAGAACATAAGAGCCTTGTAACGTACCAGGTGGTATGTTTTTACTCTGGCTTTTTTCAATCTGTTTTCCAGCTACAGGTCAGTTTACAAAAAATGCCACCGCGTATTTCAGCATTAATTTCAAATTCTGTTCTTATCCCAAGCACGTGCAAATTGGCCTCACAAACGTGTGGCTTTAATCCATGAGCTCCTTTGCAGGAGGCTCTCAAATCTTCCACCAGGGCCACACAAGCCAAGCAAAATAACTTTCTCTCCAACGTACATTAACTTAAAGAACCTACCTTTCACATTAAGTAACAACAAGAAATAGCCTTGTATTTCAGCCAGCTTTTCAATTTAATGATAAGCTCTAGAGCTAATTAATTTAATAGACTACACGATGCCAATTTTTTTTTATTTACCTTTTTTTTTTTTTTTTGTCTTGATAAACATTGGTGTGCTTGAATGGACACCTCTATTTTCCTTGGAGTTTTAAAGCTTCCTTTTATGTGTGTGAAAAATGGCTAAATATGTCAGGGTTTATCAAACAGAGCCTAGCTTTTTTGGCTGGTTCCTTTCACCTTATCTAGCAAACACTTTACTCTCTCCATCAAAATGGGTCAGAGCAAACACCAGTATGGGCTGCACACATAACCAGAGCTACCTCGAAACGATCTCCAGACTCTTTAAACTCAGCCAGAAAGCTGATTAGGCCCCAGATCTTTGGACATTATCTTATTTTTGATAGCTGTGCTATGAAAAGGCAATAAAGAAAAAAGCTGTCTAATAGGAAAGCAAGTTAAAGTGTGTGCTTACTTAGGAGGTGTACTTCAAAGAAACGGGGGAAAGAACTGTGTAAACTTGTTTAACTATTTGTTAAATCTCAGAAAGGGCCATGTTTTTTTTAAAAGAATGTGTATATGAGTTAAAAAAATTTTTTTTTAAGTCCAAACAATTCACGTGTAGGAAGCAAAACATCACTGTGGTATATTTGCCTTTCTGGGGGTAGCCCGATACCTTTGTGGAGGGCCGTTTAAACACCTCTGAAAGTATTATTAGTCTGAATGTGAGAAAGCCAAAGATTCATGCCAGGTCTGTAGAACAGTTGTGAAAAGACACCGTAGCAAGGTTTGTATATTTCAGTAAAATTCCTTTTACCCTTGTCCAAAAAGAGAGAATAAAGGAAAAAGACAGAAAATGCTTAACACCAGAGCCGAGTTTAAACGTCGAAAATTCACTTTTCCTTTAAAGTAGAGAACAGAAAGACAATGTTCAGGAGGAATATTTACATGTGCCCATTCCCGGCGGGAGGTTGAGCACCTCGATCTCACACCAAGCCCAGCATCTCAGGATTTCGTGTCTTTGGGGGACACACGCAGCGTGGAAGCAGTTTGCCTTCCTGAATTCGACACGCTGAAAAGGAGAGGAGTGGACCCTTGATGGAAGAGAGGAAGGAGAGGGGCGCCCAGGGCCCGGTGAAGAGGAACACGTGTCAGAAAACACCAGCTCCTGTCCACGCTTGTTTGCACAGTCGGTTGGGGGAAGGGACACGAACTGAAAACTCTTCATACCTGAGGCTCTGAGAATCTGACTGGAACAAAAGCAAGTCATATTCTATATCCGCACTGAGTGGCCCGGAGAGAAGGTGGGGGGTGCGGGGCCATCTTTCACACACTCTGTTTTCCTTCAGTGTTCATCTCAGGTTACCATCCCAAGGGCAAGGCACCAGCTCAAAATCAAAAAGAAAGCTCTTGCACAGTTGAAGTGACGCTGCTATCATTTCCTATTCAAACTGGTTTTGTCTTCATTCTAAATCCCAACGCGTGGATTGGAAAAGAGTCAAACCCTGAACATTTTTATTATTTCAGCCTATTCACATCGAGACCCTAGTTCTTAATCAGCATTCCAACGTGCTATTTGGACCTATCTCTTTCAGTTAGAAATAAATTCGGACTTAGCCAACCTCATAGTGCCTGGCACATATGACATGCATAATAAGCTCAAAGGCTACTTCCAACAAGGGTGTTAAAACATCAGTAACACCTTCAATAGCATGAACGAAGGATGTTAAAACAGATTCTGAAGGACTTAGATATTTAGCATAAAGCAAACGCGTAGAAGGAACATGCAGGCATTCCTACCAAACAGAGTGGCCACAGAGCAAGTGACAGGGTGGTTTGACCTCATGGAGTGCCCTTAGTAGAGTTTCCCTGTGATTTGGTGCACAAACATCTCGGTGGAGTTCCCACCTCTGCCCAGAGCCAATGTGAGCATGGCATTTACACAGGAGACTAATTAGTGCATCTGGGGCCGGGGGACACAGGGAAGACTGTGACCACTTTGTCCCCTGGCTGGCAGCCTTGCGATTTGGAAACTTGCAGGCTTTTGAGCAGCCTCAATAGGGTCAATTCAAGTTTACAGTTTAATTGTTTTAATTATGCCTCATATTGATAGGCTGAAGCACAGGAAAGATCATTGCAGAGCCGCTGCTCCTTAAGTCAGCAGGAGGGGAACCTGGGAACATAATGTAAGAAAATTATGAATAGCAAGGCTGAGCTACAGCTTTGCTTTTTCGTGTGCCTGCTAAATATGGGAAAGCCTGGCATCGGAACTTTTGAAAAGTGTAAGGAAGCAATGGTGCTCTTTGGTTGTTGTTCAGGGGAGTGAACCTGCTGAGTGCTGGCCTCGACCCGGAGAATGGAGCAGAAATCAAAGTGGACAAGCCAGGAACTTATAAGCAAGGGGATTTTGATCTGTAAGTCTGATTGCTCCTAGAGGAAGAGGCCTTATTTATCTAAAGGGGGGTGAATTTAAATGTCAGAGTCTCATTGCAAAAGTGTAGGTAATCATATCAAAAACACGATTGATAATATTAAGACATCCGTATACATCTAGGCTATAAAATGATAACTGGTGAGTGACTAGGATGCGTACAAGTCAGGCTCTGCTGTGAGAGTGTCACACATCATCCTCACAGCAACTCCTGATGTTCTTACTGTTATTTCACAACACGAAGAAACCCAGGGATGGGGAAATTCAGGAAGCTTCCCAAGGGCTGCACAACTAAGAAGTGGCCAAACTTCAAAAAAGTTAATTGGCATGTGTAGAGACATGCGAGCATGTATTAAGTACGGTCAGAGTGTCCCCTTGCAAATAAATAGGACCTGTTTGATTTATTTAACTCCCCAGGAAACAATGAAATTATTTTCCTCATTATTATGGGTAATGTACCTAGTAGTCTATTACAGAAACTTGGTAGTGAATGGCCTTAAAAGGTGTATTCTCCATGCAAGCCTATGATTTCAGAAGCACCTTGGATTAGTGCTGCAGATCGATTCCCGTGGCATCTCGACTTCTTTAGCTCATGTGATTAAAATGTTTATAATTAGTTCACCACCAACACTGGCCTTTCCTTCACCTTGCTTGGTCTGCCTTAGTGCCCCCATCTGCCATGGAGGCATAGGTAAATATTTTCTTTGCTAGGCTGTCCTTTCACTTTCTCTTGGAATATCATGGCTGTACTTACTTTTGATAAAGTCTGTTTTCTCAGCAGAAAGATGCATCTCCTGGAGTTGGACAAATGTTGTGGGTTTTTGTCATTGATCATCTAAGGATAAAGAGTAACATATAGAGATAAAAAGAGGTGCTGAACACAGTTTTATCAGCAAAGAAAACAGGCCATGGGGACCTCCCAGATCTGTCCCAAACAAGAGACAGTAAGAGAAACACTTTAGCAACACCGGAAATAAAGCATATGTGACAAAAGAAAAGACTACATGGAATCAGAAGAGTGTATCACATTTGGTTGGTGTCTTTATCGTCATTTTAAAAAGGAAAAGAAAAAAAATAAGACAAGGAAGAAATGGAAACAAAAGTCTTTGTAAATAGGGAAGGGAGGAAGGAGTGAAGAGAGGGCAGGGATGTGGGAAAAAATAAGAACCAAGACCTGTCATGTAAAGGTACAAGATCCCAATGATGAATGTGACTTACTGTATACCTAAAAAGTACCAATAAATGCAATGAAAATAAAAATAAATATGCAATGAAGCCAAATGATACACTTTAATGAATAATACCCAAAAATAAGGAAGAAAATTTTGGCAATGTTACTATTACCTGCCCTCACTAGGTGTATTTTTTAAAAACTCCCCTAATATTAAACTAAGAGTGGAAAGGAAACACACTTTAGGTGTATTGGCTTATGAGAGGAGAGATTATGCACTTAAAATCCCTTTTTAAAATACTACGAATTCCCTCCCTGGACTGCAGCATTATACACTCACACAATTAATCATTTTGGTAATGACCCCCATGTGACCCAAGGTGACAAAATAAAACTGATAGACAAATTCTAAGATGACCTTTCCAAGCTTCAAGAATCTCTAAAAGACAAATGTAAAAACACCAAGTACAATAAAAAACATGTCTGTGGGTAGAAATCAGCACAACTTGAAAATGTTGCTTTTACACACAGAGACATAAAAATATTACCAGCCAGAATAATAGTTATCCAATAAGATGCACAGAAAAAATGTGCCCCATTTTATCATGACAAAAACATGCATTAAAAATACATAAGTTGACACATGACACGCATGTATGTTTTACTAGTGTTAGCCACAGAAATTGGATTTTTAGTCAAAAAATCCAATAGGAAGTAATCATTTATTGGTCCTGCACTATGTAATCTAACTTAGGTCACAACTTTCAGAATCTTTAGGATGTGCCCATAACATTGCATCCATTACCTTGAAAATACACAAATACTGTGTTTGTTTGCACCCTGAACAGCTGACGAGGAGGAGGAGGAGGAGGAGGAAGAGGAAGAAGAAAGAAATCTTTCCTCCTCCTTAGAAGTAAGTACACCTAGCAAGAATCCAGTTTACTACCTGCAGACTTTAGAAACTAAATCCACAAAGCAAACTCAGAAGAGCAGGCGTGGGAAAGAACAATTTTGTCTGCCTTTCTATGGCTGGCACACTTTAAACCTGCTGTGGGAAAAAGAAAAAAAACAGCAGTGAAAGAGGAGAAGCCTACACAGTTTGACCTTGTCCTCACTGCCTCTCCACTCCAGTACCACCCACTGCCCCATGCGGGGAATGTTGGTCCAGCCCCAGACTGTCGATGAATCATCTGATCACACTTCAGGGAACTAGGGTAAATAAAGTTCGCATGCTCTGTAATTATTAATTACAAAAACTGAACAGTCTGGAGAAGCGTTTAAACTATTTGGAGATTGCAGGTGGAGGAAGGTTTGTTAGCAGTAGTTGTTCATTGAAATCTCTTACAGGATTTTTTTTTTTTTTTTTACCTAGTCTGTGAAGCAGAGCCTGCTGTGCTAAATTATGAACCAAAGGCTTTGGGGTGGGGACAATCAATCACAATACCTGGGGTAGTGTGTAATGTACAATGCTCTTGTCAGCGTGAGCAGGCTGCCCCCGAACACAGCCCCCCAGCAGGTTAAATAAATATGATACTATAGACAAGCCCTCAGGTTCACAGGACTGCATCAATCAGCCGTTGATAAAATACAATCTTCCTTTAATACATGCTGAGAAAGTTATTTAACACTTACAGAACCTATATCCATTTCTTGTCCCTTTTTTTTTTTTAAGTCTTCTTGGAAAGTGTAACTCTTTTAAAGGGCACGAGGAAGAAGTTGCAAGATCCTGAGAGTGAAGAAGTGGATTTTGTGGTGCCAGAGAAACTGAGGCACAACCATGAAACTAGGACGTGCACAGGGGAAGCGCTAGGAGTGAAGGAACTGCCCAGAGGGCGGGGAGGATGCAAATCACACCTGAAACACCGCAGAGGCTCTGGCAAAACGCGGGTACCTTGCTGAACTGGTTCCTGCCGAGAAACCCCTGGTGCATTTCAATTCCGTATTTATTTCTGTTCGTTTTGGCTCTGTGGTTTGCGTGCATGGGGAGCAAATGAAGCAACTACTGTATCCTGGATTAATTTGAAGGAAAAGCTAACCGGGCAGGGGATAATTCCACCGGGGAGGGAGGCAACCGTGAGTCTAGGGGGATGGGCCCATGGAGCTCGTGGTGGAGGGGGCCCCACGAC